TAATAACTTAAACCAAAAGAAATACCTAATTCACCATTTCATGCGCACTAGTATCGATACCCTTCCTACAGTATCGATATTTCCCTTTTATGGTTTCAGTATCGATACCAATTTGGCATTCTGAAATTTCAAACATGATAATGGTATCGATGCCTTACCCTTGTTATCGATACCCTTATTTCAGTATCGATACCTCCTTCAATTAGTACCGATACTGATCCTCGAATTTAAACTTGTTTTGCCTTGAAGTATCGGTATTGTTCTTCCTGTATCGATACCCTTACCCATAAATTACCATTTTTATTTCGAAATTTAACCAAAACTTACCCAAATCTCCCACTTTTATTTCCTTTCATGCCTTTAAACTCAACTTCACTAATCAAAACCAACTTATCTCACTTTAACACTCGTAGACACCCAAAATCCTACTAAAACACTTGAGACTAAAAATCATACCATATTTTCAAGCATTTTCTTAATCATTTCAAATACTTTTAACTCCTTGGTTAGACCCTTGACAAGTCAAATTTATAAATAGAAATTCAAAAACTAAACCATATCAACAATTCCCTTACAAACCCATTATACATATTTATCATTATTTCACTCATGTTTTAGTTTTACTCCACCTAAACCTTCCCTTAAGCTTATATATCACCCAAAGAACAAGAACCAACTTAAAAATTAAAGGAACAATCAACTTGAAATCAACTCACCTTTGAAATAGAGCTCACGGCAACGTGGAAGAAGATAACAATGGTTTCTAGATTTTTCTTTCTCCTCCACGTGTTTTATATCACTTAAAAAGGGAAGATAAAAACCCTTCTTTTGAAAGACCATAATTCCCTTCCAATAATCAAACATTAATATCAAGTCCTAAACAACATTTTTGAAATAAATCCTTGAAGTTTTTAATTTATTTCAATTAAACCACTAAATTTTAAATTCTTACATTTTGGTCATTGATCTGATGTTTGTGGTGTTACATGTATGCTATTTTTTTATTTCATTTATATATCATTTTCATTTTATTTACTTATAATTGTCACTTGTCACTAACTAGTAAATATGAATTATGTTACGAACAATTACCTTAAAGGTTTGAGTATATGTTTCAAGGGTTGCAAGGCAAAAATGAATAAGAGTACAGTTACATCAGAACCATCAACAAAGAAATGTGGAAAAATGCATATGATGGGGGATATCGTTATGGTCATATGATAACCAAGTTAACTAAAGCTGCCAATTCAATCTTAAAGGGGGCATATCATTTACATGTAATTGCTTTGGTTAAAATGACATATTTTCATTTGGTTAAGCTTTTTGCGAAACTCGGGGGACAAGCTCTTACTAGGGTGCAAAATAGTCATATTTATCACTCAAGATTAGCAACAGACCTACGTAAGAAAGTTGCAGCATCAAATGAGATGTTGATAACATATTTTTCCATACCCGTTAATTATTTCGAGTGTCGGATATACCACGACCTCTTTAAGGGATTTAATCTAACTTTTTCATAGTGAATTTACAAATAAGATAGTGGGATTGTGGCTTTTTTCAGACTCTAAAGTTTGAAGTCTCTCATGTCATAACAACTTGCTCACATTCACATTTGGACTACAAAAGTTATGTTGGTCTCGTCTATCAGCTTTTGCAAATATTCAAGGCACATGAATTTGAGTTCTCTCAATAAGTAACGAAAAAAACTCAAATGAGATTCAAACTTGGCCTACAATTATACCATATTCGAGTTTATTAAAGGAACCAAGTCTACCAAAATCCACTCGAATTCATTGTTATATGGATATTCGAGAGAAGTCAAAAGAACCTAAAAGATATGAGCATTGTAGAAACTCATGCCACAACATAAAAAAAAAATGTGCATCTCTTTTAGCATCTCTCGACCGACCATAATTAAGTAATTTTATTTTGTATTTTGTCATATAATTATTGAGTCTCTAGTGAAGAGATAACAAACTTAAAATGAATTCCTCATTTTACATAATCTCGAATTCGATCCATTGACATCTATTATGTTTTTCCCTTTATCCAATAAATAAACAAATCTACAAAAGTCAAACAATTAAACATACCCATTTTTCTAATAGAAACGACTAATATTATTAAAGGTGAAAATATTTAAAATTATAATAAGAGTTTATAATTATAATCATAATTTGAACATTTTCTATAATATTGAAATAAGTCACTTTAGATTATATAAGGACCATACATGGAAAAATTAAAAACTCAACCAAAAGACTGGAACAAAAATAGATATAAATAAATCTGATTGCATCGGTAAACGAACAACAAAAGAGAATTAAGCTATTGAAAGACCGTTGAAAATCGTAAATCAGAGCCGAAAGTCGTGAGAAACTATCTACGAACGCAAAATCGCGCATCCAATTTCAATCCGAAAGTCTATAGCAGGGAAGATCAACAAGATTTGAAATAAGTTGCATCTTGATCGATCGTTGTTTCGTCAAATCCAACCTTGAGAAAACATAAATAAAAGAGTAATTAAACAACCGAGAAAAAACGGAAAGCATAACACAAATAGAGAGATAAACGTGACACAAAAGTATTATTATTCTTATTAAAAAATAAAAAGAGAAAAAAAAATCCACAGTCGACAATCTTTATCAAAATCAGTGCTACCACCAATTAAATAAAAAATTAATCTGATCTAAAAACAATAGAAATTCAAAGTAAAAATAAAAAAGAGGAGGAAGGGGACAGCGGCTAGAAGAAGGGAAAATGCCTAGGTTTTGTGTAGGGGTAAATATTTAATTCTTATAAGGCATACTAAAATGAATATAAATATATACTTTAAGAATAATTATAATACCTAAAATAACATATATAAATGCATAAATTAATAGGTTTAATGGTGTATCACATGTCGAACATTTTGAGAAGAATTACAATGGTTACATAGGCTCTAGTACACTTTCTCTGTATATCCCTGTTATTCTAATAAATGGAAATCGACCTCTTAACTAATTTCACTTTACAATCACTTGTAATAACACAGTTTTCATGCACATGCGATCTGTCCCCATAGATTGTTGAATTTTCCCGACCCTAACCCCAAGGTTTCTCTAAAAAGAGCTGTTGAATACTTTTCTTTTTTATCCAAGTCAACATCCAAAAATAGTCCAGTAATAAAGTCCAACACGTGCATATGTCTCTTCTCAATTTAAATTAGGGTAAACTACACATATAGTACATAAATTATTAATTTTATTTCGTTTTAATATTTAAAATTTTATTTGTTTTAAAACAATAGTTAACGTTTATTTTTTTTCGTTTTAGTACCTCGTATTTAAAAACCTATCGGAACTATTGTACATTGCACCTTTTTATAAATTAATTGTATCATTAATCACTCAATTATCTTCTCACTCTTATTTTGATCAATGAAGTTTTTTTAAATTTAATTATTTAACTTCCAAATTACTCCTAATTTAATCACTCTAACATTCAAATTTAATTTTTTATCTTAATTATATATTAATAAAATAATAATAAAAATATCATGTAAAAAAATCATTAATAAAATAAATTAGAGTGATTAAAAATGAGCCATTTGAAAGCTGGTAGTTAAATAAAATAAATAAATTTTAGCGACCAGTATAGAATTGAGAAGATAGTTGAGTGGTGAATGATGTACTTTACCCATTAAAAACATAGTTCCCTTAAGTTTTTAACGACATATGCTATAATGAAACAAAAGTAGACGTTAAATATGATTTTGAATCAAATGAAAGGTTAGGTATTAAAAAAATAAAAATGATAGTTTAGGTACTAAATGTGTAGTTTATCCTTTAAATTATCTAAATTTTGTTCCACCGCCCACGGATATTACTATCTTGTCTGATTTTTTTGGGTAAATTATACTAATACCTACACTATCAATTTTGATTCGTTTTAGTACTTAAAATTCAATTTTTTCAAAATCATACCTAACATTTAGTTTTTGTTTCATTTTAGTACCCGTCGTTAAAAACTTAACGAACGAGCTTGGCGATCGTCACGTTTATAGTAGTCGTTCAATGCATTTCTTGGCTGATGAAGCCCAAACTTTTCAGCCTGCACCTTTTCGAAGCTTTGAACGTAATTTCGACCTCCATTTCACCGAAAATGCCATAATCTCGCTAAATCAACGATGGATTTTTTAACTTTTTCATCCTCTGATCTCCGTCGCAACCATCCAATAGATCTGAAGCTAGACTATGTTGGTCAACTTGTTATTCTCTCATGGTCCACCGTTCAATTTAGTTGTCCGTCCACTAAAGTTATACCATGTCAATCAATCCGTTAAATTTTTAATGACGAGATTCTAAAACAATGCTAAATGTTAGGTATGATTTAAAAAAAAACAAAAGTTCAGGTATTAAAATGGACCAAAATTGATAGTTTGGTACTAAATACACACTTTACCCTTTTTTAAGTTTATTGACAACATGCAATCCTTAAAAGAAATAATATTTTATTTTAGGGTAAATGACATTTAGTACCTAAATAATCAGTTTTGATCCGTTTTAGTACCTAAACTTTCATTTTTTTCAAAACCATACCTAACGTTTAGTTTTTGTTTCATTTTAATACCTCGTCGCTAAAAACTTAACTCTTTTAGTATCTAAAATATCAGTTTTAGTACCTAAATTCTCAAAAAAAATTCAAAACTTAACGTTAAGTTTTTAACGGGTACTAAAATGAAATAAAAACTAATATTTAGGTATGGTTTTGAAAAAAATTAAATAATTAAGTACTAAAACAGACCAAAACTGATAGTTTAAGTACTAAAAACATAATTTACCTTTTATGTTAACAGTACGGAATTTACTATATGGATTTGAATTATCAAAGAAAAAATAGATTAACCTAAACCATTAAAACCAAATAGTAGATTCATTTAAAGTACCGAAAACAAATTCTTGAAAAGTATACAGACAGCCTTACAGCAAATTACAAACCAAAGCATATATTTACTCCGTTACTTCTTAACATCTTCCAAGAACAGGATATTTTGGGTTACGCGTAAGTACCCGATTTGCAGAAACAATTCAACAACAAAACTCAAAAGAAGAAACAGAATTGAACCCCAAAAACAGAAAGTCGAATAACTTGTAGAATATAGTGTTTGAAGGAGAGAACTGATAAACTCAACTCGTAATGAGACTATTTGATCGGATGGGGCTTTTCTGCTTAAGTAGGATCTTTAGTTGAGTCTTTTGGCACTCCAGCTTCGTACCCCAATGCTTACTCTTTGATCCAATTGCTTGAACCACTCGAGGAAATTCGACAAACCCTTTGATCCCTCTCCTTATGTGAGGATTCCGAGTTTCTGGAGATGCTTTTCGCTGCATTTCCATTGATGAAGTACAAGATGATGATGACTCGCTAAAAACTAACCTTGAAAACTTGCCTGAAAGATTTGCAGTAAATGATGGTTGCATGCGTTTCGTTTCTTCCAATTCCAACAATTTCTCCTCAAAGAGAATCTTGGCCTCAGTCAGCTTCATCTGAACTCGTTCTTCCCTTAAAACTTCAGCCATCCTTAGCATCTTTCTTTCCTCATCAACCTCATTCTTCATTCCAGCAATGGCTGCTTTATCCAATGAAATTTCTCTTGCAAGCTCTTCGCATACTCTCTCCAGTGCTTCTCTTCCCCTTCGTTCCTCACCAACTTCTTTAATCAATTTCTTATTAATGGTCACAGCCTTTTTACGAGCTTTACGTTCATACTCTAACTCAGCTTTCAGCTCAACGATATGGGCTCGAGCTATATCAAGATCAGAATCCATAACTGGTTTGAACAAGGTAAGATCCCAGAAAGAAGCAGCGATCTTCCGAGCAGAAACAGGAAGGCCTAGTCGATGTAAACGCTTGTTACGTGGGCATGGTTGCTGTTGTTGTTGATGATTAGGTGAACAATAAAAGGGATTTTCGTAAAGTTTCCAGCGAGGGAAAGTGGCAGTGTTGATGAATTCTTGCTCTTGAGGAAAATCTGCATTGCTTTGATTGCTAGAGCTTCTGATCATCGTCATCATCATCACCTCCTCCATATCTTCTCTTTTCATTTTATTTGAACCTTTTTCTTTGCTTTTCTACTTTTCTTTATTGCAATTGGGATTTTCCCTGTCAAGAAAAGTAAAGCTGGTAGTCCCATTATTTAGATTTAATTGCATCATATGTCCTCAAAATATAACATTCATTTTAAATTGACCCCTAAGCTTTTAAAGGTTACACTTTCATCTCTAAACTATACTTTCATTCTAAGATAGTCCTCAAACTTTTAAATATTTCAATTTCATCCGCAAAATATAATCTTCATTCTAAATTGATCCCCAAACTGTACGTATATACTATTCACATTCATTGTTATTAAAATCGTTAGGTCAAGTTATATTATTATATGTTTGAAGAAACAAATTTTAGGATACATTATGGTTTAAATTGATTACATATTTGGATGAATTTAGGGATGAAATTGAAATATTCAAAAGCTTGGGGGATCATTTTAGAAAGATGCTCATAATTTAGGGATAAAATTAAAATGTTCAAAATAAAGACCAATTTAAAATAAAGATTATAGTTTGAAAATATACGATGCAATTAACTCCATTATTTATTGTGCAACTTTGCTTTCAAGATGCGGATTGTAAAAGCCAACAATGTACATGCATCTCATTGTTAAGCTTCTTTGTTTTATGGTTTGGATTATTTTTCCACTGTTCTCCAAATTAACTTCAATAACAATTTTTGCGTCCTTAAAATCGATAATTACGTGCCCCATTGAGATTATGACACCTAATTAATAATGTTGTTTTAATCTGACACACGCTTTTATTCAGTAAATCGAACTGTTAAACTGTAATTGCTGATGGAAAGCTTTAAAAAAAACTACAGCAGTACAAGTTACCATCTTTATCTTTTTCATCCCCAGTTTTTAACAATGGGTAGCCTACCACCACAGGAATTCAATAACTAAAGGACCATGGGCATATGTCAGAGCAATCATTCAGCCAAACACAGCCCCACATGCATATTGAATGATGCAAGTGATCGATCAATGTTACTTTACAGCAGCGTAAACTCCATTAAGGACCAGGGACTTTCTGCCAATATAATAATATTCAAACACACATATTTAGCATAAAAAAATAAAACGAGCTGAGAATTATGTGTTATAAGTGTAACTGTAGCTCATATGTTAGTTGTTAGTCTAACCTAACGACTGCTGGTTAGTTCTCTTAGGTGTTTCTGTAGTATGGACTACACCGTTAGTCGATTAGTTATGAGTTGGCTGAGTTGGTTAGGAGAGTCTGTTAGAGTGATAATCTCAATTGATTCGTACAATATTGTATAAGTACTAACTGGTGTCTCTTGAGATATTACGAGTTTATCAATAAAACGTTGAGTATTGTCTCTCTTCCTTTGTGCATCTTTCTCAACCAGGCCCATTCATTTATAAGTGTGGCAAAGGCCCAAAACTTTGAAAGTCCCACAATTTAGAAAAAAAAATCACGATTTTGTTTCTAAGAATGTTAAGAAGATGATACGTTTTAAATAAATGTCACGATTATAAAGTTTTTTTATGATATTGTCTAAGTTTTATATGTTTGAAAATTCTTTTTATTTTGTAAGAAATAATCGTAATATAATAGATTTTGATATTTTACAATTTCACCTTATTATAAAATATTTTAAGGGTCTCGTTTAGGAAAAATAGTATATGGCCTGTGCATCTTTTGAGACGAGTCAAATATGAGTCTGCTCTTAATTATTTTTCCTATTTTAGTAATATGCTTTCATCAGTAGTATGGTGTAAGTTCATACCATGATATCATTCGCCGAAAGATTCAGGTTATGTGTGATTCTTCGCTACGCAGCTATTGTGCTCGCTGATCTTCACCGGTAGTCAGATTCGTGTTGTTGAAGAAGACCGATGTAAGTGCAAATCAAACAGGTGACTAAGAAATCAATCCTAAACTGATTTTGATTTTGATCGCAAGCATTTTATCTCCGACTTCTAAATGGCTATAGACTAAATAGTGACAAATTCGATCAGTTGTGGTAAGATTCTTGTACTTATTTCTTTTTTTATGTGCATCATCTTTTTGATATACGATAGAAACTAAATATTATCGTTGAGATTCAATGATTGATGATTGATGAAGAAAACAAAGAGAGAAAAGAATGAGAGATGAAACAGAAATAGACTTAGTTAAGGCATATAGTTGAAAAAGATATCATCTGGACTTTATTTATTAAAATAGTATAAACGAACCAATGTGATACTTGGTTTGTTTGTTTGGCTGTAATTGGTTTTTCGGAAAATGAATTACTGGAATTTGAATTACTGGAACTGAAAAATGAATAATTGGAATTTGAATTCTGGAAAATGAATTACATTTCTGGAAAATGATTTCTGTAAAATGAATTACATTTTTCTGAAAAACATCTGGAAAACGTTTTATGATGTTTAGAAGATGTTATTTAAACCTTTTTTCCACTAGTTGGAGAGTTTTTTAAAAATTATTTATTACAAATATTAAATATAATAAATAATATTATTTATCATAAAACTTAATATTATTATTTTAAAATATTAAAATAATTTATTTATTATTAAATATTATTTTTATAATTTTATTAATAAAAATATTAATTTTTGTATATTTTAGTGAAATAAAATATTATAAATTATATTAATTATTTATTAAAGTAATAGTGTTATATTATATTTTAAAAATATTAATTAGAATATTTTAAATATCTTTATTAAAATATTATTTAAACATATAAATAATATTATTCATTATTAAATATATAAAATTTTTATTATATATTATTAAAATAAAAATATAATAACTTATATTATTATAATATAATTGATTATTTATATAATATTAAAAATATAATATTATATTATTATAAATATTAATAAATAAATAAATAAATAATATTTTGATGAAAATGATATTAAAATATTTTATTAATATTAAATTCATAAAATAAAATTATTTTAAGTATTTATTCTTTGAAGTGAAAAGTTCAGAAAATTACTTAAAGGAAAATAACTTACGGAAAATGAATCAGTAAGTCATTTTACAGAAAACACAAAGAAAATTCTGTTACTAGGAAAATGAATTACATCCGAAAAACCAATTACGTGAAACAAACACGGGAAAACATTTTCCGAAAAACGAATTACGTGAAACAAACGCGGGAAAACAATGAATTACGTGAAACAAACCGGGAATTCGGGGAAAACTAATTTCGTAATTCCAATTACGGAAAACAAACACACCCTTACAATGATCTAACAAATAGTTAAGTCCAAGGTTGTTACACCATAAATAACCACTTTCAGTTACATAGCGTATACTCTTATCATTTTTCCATTTCTTCTCCTTCTTGAATTTCAACAACATGCAAGACACTAAAAGTCTGCTTCTCATGGATTGAAACAGAGATGGAGGAATAGTCTTAGTGATAATGTCTTCAACCTGTTCAACAGACGAAACATAATTGACAATTAGCTGACCAGTTAGAACCTTTTTATCTAACAAAATGATAATCGATTTCCACATGCTAGATCTTAGCGTGATGAGTGTAATTTTCTGCCATTGACACAGTAGATGTATTGTCCCACCAATTAATTGACACCCAAGAGAAATGAATCCCGACTTCTTTCAACAAATGCTCTATTCTGACCAATTCAAAAACAACATTCGTAAGGCTTCGATACTCAACCTTAGAAGTTGACGTTGAAACAACAGCTTGTTTCTTAGAACTCCAAGCAACAAGGCTAGGATCCAGAAATATACAATAACGTATTGTAGACCTTCTATCTTCAACAAAAGAAGCCTAGTCAGTATCTGCATAACAAATCGGACTGAATGTATCTGCTCCCTTGAAAACCAGTCCATGGGAGAGAGTTCCACTTAAGTACCTTAGTATGTGTTTTACAACTTCCCAATGTCCATCATGTGACTTATTCATAAATTGGCTCACCTTATTGATAGTATAGGCTATGTGTGGCCTTGTAAGGCACACATATTGTAGCCCACTAATTATACTTCGATAGAGCTGAGCATCATCAATAGCCTTCCTATCATTAGCTCTTAGTTTGGGAGTAACCATCGTAGAAGATGTGTTGGCTTCATTTTCACAATGTCAGCCTTCACCAAAAGCTCCTTGATGTACTCTTTCCGACTTAGCACAAGCCTTGTAGAGCAATGGTACACCTCCATGCCAAGAAAAAAAAACTACTCTCCCAAATCCTTTAAAGAAAGCACATTGTTGACTTGATCTACAATATCATTTACCTCTGTTGTGTTGTTTCCTGTGATGCTAATATCCTCAACATACACAATTAATAATACTTTGTTGCCAATTTTTTTTTTTTTTGATAAATAAAGAAGAGTTTGTTTTGACTGCCACAAATCTCTACTTTGTGCTCAAAAAGACATTAAGGGTGTCAAACCAATCCCTTGGTGCTTGCTTGAGGCCATAAAGAGAATTTTTTTTTTAACTTACATATCGATTTTGTGTTCAGCTATTAATAGAAGTTTGAGTAATCTCAGGCGAAACATTTTTAGATCCTGACTGAGCCATGAAAAAGAGAGAAAACACAACAAGAATCATCACAAAAAGAAGCAGAAGAACCTTAATAACAAGAATCACTACAATCAAAACTAGGAGCAACGATACACTCAAATCATACAAACAACCAATTAATCAACAATCGAAAATAACGGAGAAAAGAGTAATCGGAGAAACGAATAATCGGATAAAAGTAAAAATCCTAGAATTTTAACAAGAATAAATATAATGAACTTGATCTAAGTTAAAAGGAATGATCTCACCAAAATTAGTAGAAATTTGATTTGCAACTATTTCCATACGATATTATAGAACGCATAAGATTGAATGACCATTGCATCATTGAGATTAACGGCAACGCTATTGATCTGAAATAAATCTTTTAATTAGGTCTAAGATGATCAAAACATTAGGAACTTCGTCAGAAAATAATCTA